AAAATCTGCATTAATTAGAATTCTGTTAGATTCAACCAGTATGTCTATTAAATGGACGAATCAGAATTCTTGTAGGAATTATCAGATGAATCTGATAAATTTTTTCCTGTTAAATTTACCAAATTTTCTGATTAATAATACTAAACTCGCCAGCACCAAGTCGTCTAAAATTTTTTCCATCTAACCTCAAAAGTCTGTTTAATATTCTGAATTCCAACAAGATTATTGGATAAATTCAATTCAGATTATTCAATAAGTTATTTTAAATTTAGTTTGTTAGAAATTGATAAACAGTGATACAAGAAGAGAATGCAGCTCAAACACACACAATCAGAGAGCTAGCGTCCTCTTTCTGGCACTACTGCTCGTAAGAGAAAAAAAATATACTTTGGATTTAATGTTAATACTACACTGAGATAAAATCTGGTTGCATTAATTAGAATTCTGATAGATTCAACCAGCATGTCTGTTGGAAAATGTACGAAACAGAATTCTTGTAGGAATTACCAGATGAATCTGATTAATTTCTTCATGTTAAATTTACCAAATTTTCTAGTTAATAATATTAAACTCGCCAGCACTAAGTCGTCTAACATTTTTTCCATCTAATCTCGAAAGTCTGTTTAATATTCTGAATTCCAATAAGATTATTGGATAAATTCAATCCAGATTAAACGTTCTAGTTATAAAACGTTCTAGTTATAAAAAATCGAGTCTTATCATGATAACTAGAAATTCTTGTTTGATTTAACCAAAATCATATACGTCAATCATATACGTCTTGTTGGTACAATCAAACAATTTTTCTCAGTGTGGAATTGTAAATAAAAGATTGACACTCTAAATGTTTTAAAAGATATTAAAATTATTATTACTTATGTAATGAGGAATTTTCGAATTTAATTAACAACGCGCAAAATTTATTACATAGTTTTACTCCAAACGGCCATATCTGATCTCTTTTATTCATTTTTAAAATTTTTCTAGTTGTCAGCTGTAATGCCTAAATTAAGACGCAATTCGTCAAGGATCTGTATTCATTAATTATACATGACTCCATCATAATCTCTCGCGCAATCTCGTGTCCTGAGATGATTAGCAATGTCTCTGTAAATTCCATGTGAATCCGTCATCCCGAATTTATTATTACCTCTTACGGCACGCATGTGCGAGAGAAAGAAAATGATAGGCCGGATTGAAATATTGTTAGCATCAACAAATAGCTTCTGGGATAAGAAAGTTTTATTAAAAAATGTTATAGAAAAAAAAGAGAGGAAAAAAATTCATTCACCAAAGATACTGAATAATCTCCTACGCGCAAAAATATTGATACAGCGGGACATGATGAAGAAATTACGTATTTTACAAGTGGCATCAGTGGTATTTTGTCATCTTTGCAGTCGGTTCTGAATAACATTGCGATATATCTACAGTAATTGTAAATAATGAAACGTAAGTAAAAAATAAAGCTGCGACCGGGAGAGAAACGAGAAGAATCGATATCCGTTAGCTTTTATATGGAGCACACGTGTAGCCCATTCCGCTTTACGTTTCGAGCTTGACGCGAGTCTCCCTTGAGAAAGTTAAAACGACGTACCATCGACAACTTCTAAGAAAATAATCCGAGCTAATTCCACTCGGAATTACATCCCGGGCCAACTTGTTAGCGCTAATTCCAGGAGTCTCCCGCGGAAAGAGAATAGACGTAGGCGCCGTACGAGATAAATAAATCCAATGTACGACGCACCCGCGAGCGAGACGGGCGAAGTAGAGGAGAAAACGCGGATCGCGGCCCGATCTGACCGGCCGACGAGGAAGACGACGCCGACAAAGGGAGGCGGACGGTACCCGAGGCGCGGAATAGCGCCGAGAGGGTGAAAAAGAGGGACGGACAGGGGGAGACTCGCTCTCGTGCACGAGAAACAGACGGGGATAGGAGAGAGAAGGGTGCGAAGGAGGGAGAGAGAGAGAGAGAGAGAGGGTAGCACGCGCTATCGCAAACCCCGTCGGCGAACGCGGCAGGATGCCGAGGTCGACGCTATCGATTGGCGTCGGTGTTTCCTCGTCGGTATCTAGCGGTCGGTGGCTGCTCTCTCCCTTTCTCCACCTTCTCCTCCTCCTCTCTCTCTCTCTCTCTCTTTCTCCCTCAACCGCGGAAGGGATTCGCTTCTCTCCCTGTTCCCCCCCTCCTTCCTCCCTGCGTTCTCGATCCCATTCTACCTCGCGCGCTCTTCCATTCTTCCCTCTTTGCCCACCCACCAGCGGTAACAGGTGTTGGTCTGGCCCCGAACTCGTACAAAATCGATGGACGAGAGCCGGATCGGCGTCGGCGAGGGGTTTCCCCGCCGATCCACCCCGTCGGCCTTCCTCTCCCCCCTGACTCTCCTCGATCGAGGAATACGACGAGAGAGAGAGAGAGAGAGAGAGAGGGTGGCGCGTAAGAACGAGGAGAGTGAGAACGAGAAAACGCTGCGGGAGGACGGCGCCGCAACCGACGGGGAACCCCTTCCTCCTCCTACCCCCTCCCCCCGGAGAAAGGGGGGTTGGGAACGCGAGTTACGCGGGCGGGAGAAGGAAGGAGGGGTCGGGGAAGGGAGGGGGGGGAAACGCTGCACACGAGCACGGCGACGAGGACGCAGGCGCCCGGGACGCGGGGCGACGCTCGTCGGCGACGCTGCATTGGCAGTTGCACCCCAGCCACACCCGGTACGAGCCATGTAGTCGGGCTACCCTCCACCGCGATACACGGCGGACAATTGTTGCTTCTGCGCCTACAGGTGGTACATCTTCGTCTTCGATCTTCGCGAAGCTCGGTCGGTGCTCGTCGTGTCTGCTGTCGTCGTCGTCGTCGTCGTCGTTGTCGTCTTTCTCGTCGTTGTCGTCGTTATCATCGTCCTCGTCTTTATCGTCGTCGTCGTTGTCGTCGTCGTCATCGTCGTCGTCGTCCTTGCTCGACTCGTTCGTTCTCGTTCCACGTCACCGCCGCCGCCGTCGCCGCCGTCGTCGCGGTGCTCGTTGTCGTGGTTACGCCTCGTGTATATCCGTCCGCCGAGCGAGCGAGACCCACCGGTAGTCCGCGTGGATCGCGTCGTCGACATCACGTTACGGGGGCGTCCACCGTCGACACATCGGGTCCTCGGGCGCTCTCGACGAGGAAAGTCGTCGGGAAGGTTGGCGACAGCAGCGTGCCACAGACGTGCGCGAGCAGAGAGAAGTTAATCGACTAACTTCTCTCCGCGTACGAGGCGAAGGAGAAAGAGTACCACACGCTGCTAACTTCAGGCTGGTAACGCTACGTCAGCCAAGTAACCTCCAACTGCGTGTGTGCACCGCCGAGGGGAGCGAGAGCGCGCGCGAGCCGTGAGGCGAGTGTGTGGGGTCGGGAGGGAGGGGGGGGCCGCGCGCGGGATTTCCGGGGTCGCGGTGAGAGGGCTAGAGGGAGCTATCGACCACACACGTAAGGCGGCGGCGGCAGCGCTCTCGCACACACCGGCGCACACGGATACACAACATCGCGGACCTGTTGTCCAACTTGTTGCTCGTCCCTGCGAAGGCACACCCGCCCATCTCCGGAGTCGAAGGTGAAGAGACTTGTTTTCGAAAAGGGAGGAGAACGCGGAGGAAGCGCGACGATCGCGAGGGATCGTCGGGACCGCAGCCGCACATCGGAGCATCGCGCTCGACGACCGAGCACCGACCCCGGAAACGGCGGACGTGAGGATCGAAACTCGAAGGGAAACGTTTCCGACGTTCTCTCTCGAAAGCGAGAGGCGAGAGATAAGAGCGGAGGAAATTTTAACGACAATTAATATACACAGTGTTTCCACTTCCTGTATAGATTTTTTATAACTTTTCATCGTCGGTGTTTCTTCGATCGGGAATTATATTGGATCGTATCTTTTCGCAAGGGGAATGGGATTCGTTCTACGTCTCGTGTTTTCGCTCTCTGTATAAATCAAGCGAGGACGCATCGAGGGAGACGAACGCTAGAAGAGCTCTTTTCTCATCCTCAGGATAGAATATATCCGACGTTTCCTACGATTCAAAGGAAACGACGCGCGCTGAGTAATTCAGAGGACCAAATCCTTATAGAGAGACCCAACTATTCGCGTATCGAATAGAAGTCGTTACGTTTATCGAATTATAAAGGGAGCAACAGGAAGAAGTTCGCTGAAGGAGTCTCGACATTTTTTCCTGACCTCATCGACAAAATAAACGAAGAACCGCCTTTCAACCGCATCGCAATTTCGAAAGTCAATTCGAGGAGACTCCACACGTCGTCGTTCTTGATCAATTTACAGAAACATTCGTCGTTGCAAGGGGATCTAGATCGTCACGATGAGAATGTTATCGTCGAAACACGCGCGTCCCAGGGCAGCGACGTCATCGGGAATCGGCGAGACGAGGTACCACCTGGAGCAACCGGGCGAGTGAAACGTTTGATTCCCCTAGGGCGACGGAAACCCCGGATTCCGCCGACGCATGCACTGCCGGAGGAAACGTGGGATAACGAAGTCGCGCTGGTGAAGCGAAGGGGGTGGGAAAAAGGGAAAGGGAGAGAGAGAAAGACACCAGACATGGCTAGAAACGCGCCGTATAGACCGATGTACAAACGACGAGACACGCAGACAGGCATGAGACCGAGGTCGTAGAGAATGTAAATCGTCCACCCGTGAATATATACAACGAAAGCAATACTACAAACAAGGTAATCTCGAGGAACCAAGCAAAGGCAAGCCGCACACAAGCTTCTCGCCAGCCAACCACTTATATAATCTCGCCCCCAAACGACCTGAGACTCAGCGCTAGAGACGCACGTCGCGTATACAAGTTTCACCCCCGTTCGGACTCGATCGGGAGCTCCTCCCAGCTTTGCTTCACTTGAGAGATATTTTAATATGAATGCATATACACGCGTATAAAGACACGGACGCTCGCACCCATTCATCCTCATATGTAATTATAACATATATGTATATGTATATATATGTGTGCGTTTACACAGGAGTCCTATTGAGAATAATCGTGCAACGACGTCTAGGATTAAATAGCGATACATCTGGGCAAATTATTTGCCGAGCTAAGCGTTTTATTTTCCCTAAGGGAACAGCGTCGTTTTCTCGCTCCTCCTTGTTAATGGGAACTCCGGGTAAAAGGGACAATCCGATCTGTCACCGAGACGATCATGTCGTGTCTCGGGAGATCTGAGAGGAAGCGCACGGATGGGACGGACAGTTGGGGCATCGATTGAGGAATCGATCTCGATGTCCGGTGGAAGATAAAACTCGGCGCTTTCGCAAAAACGATTAACGGGGTATCGAACACCTACGTAAGGAAGCAGTGCAACCTGGGGCGAGGGGAAAACGCGATACTTTCTCTCACGATCGATACTTTGCGACTGATACTTGGCAAATCATCAGGGAAACGTATATTTGCAATAAAGTACTCGCTCTCGCGATACGAAGAAACGACGACGGAGAAGATACTCGAGAGAGGGTTGTTTACCTAACGCGGTTGTTTGGTGATCTTAGAACGATACGCCGCGATTTTAATCCCGGTGAGAAGTGCACGACGATCAGAGGCCAAGATGCCGCGTTGTTACATGGTAAAGAAGGCCTTGTGCAACAAGTACATAAGCAGCGTTGCCAGAGGATTCGAGAGCTGGGGTCGCGGAAGGAGCACGCCATCGCCAACCACCATGCAGCTGCTCGTCTCACCCACTGAGGGGCACGTTGCACCCCCTGTTGCACAAGGTATGTCGCGCGTTTCACCATATTTCTCCCGAGATCCGTGATCGATCGCTATTGATAATTATAATTAATTATTTTTTAATAATTAATTATATTAATTTTAATAATTAATAATAATTATTTTTTTGCAAGAGATTTTTTTTTTTAATAATTAGAGACTTGGCTCAAATAATCAAAAAATCAGAAAGAAAATGGCATGAGAGCCAATACGCGGTAGTTGGAGCGCAGAGAAGCACTTCTTTCTTTTTTCAATATTAGTTTATTAAAAACATATTATAATAATACAAACATTAAAAACATATTATAATAATACAAAAATAATAAAAACATAATTTTTTTTTGTCGCCGCGAGTGCCAATTTTCGATTGATATTAGACAAAAAAAATTTTCATCCTAAACTTGATAAAAAATATGGTGATATTATGTATGAAAAAATAAAAAAAAAGATTTATTAAATAAACACATCTCATCGATTTTATTGTCGCTTAGATATGTTGTAAGGGAGGTTGTTTTTTAAGTAAAAAATCGTAAAAAATCAAGTGAAAGATGGCATTAGTTTAGGGCATACAGCAAATTAAAATTTGATAATTTTAATGCCTCTTCTTAGACGTTATAAATTGATACTAGGAACGGCGTGTATAAAATTTTTGTACGTTGGACTAATTTATTTGTATTTATTAATTAGAAACAGTTTGTGTTTACATTATTTTAAAAATAGCTACGGAATTATGGATATTTTATCCCTGTCTCGTCGCGTGAAAATAAAAATTTTTCAATTAAACAAAATTAAACAAAATTTTTCAATTAAAAAAACAGTCGTATATAAACTTTAATTTGTTAATTTGTAATTGTTGTTTGTCTCCAAAATAAATGCGGACTCTCACTCTTGAGTTTTGCATGAAATTACACAAAATCTCCCCTACGTATCTAAATTGATAAAATGTGATCTATTATGCGTATTTACCAGAATTTATTTAAAACTATAAAAAAACTCGTCATGCAATTTCGTCCAGACGCAACATATTATTATTATATATTATTATTAAATAGTATATTAATATATATTTATTAATATACAGGGTGTCACTTAATTGGCGCCCACTATTTATATAGCGATATTCCTCGTGGAAAACCGAGTCGAAAAGTCCTGAATCATTTTTTTCTATAATGAAAAAAATTTGAAACCATTTTTTTGAACCATTTTTCTCTTCTATAATGCGAAAAACTTTATTTTGCATTAAAAATCATATTTCTTCCGTTAAAAGCGTTTCCTTAAAGAAAATTTCGTCAAGGCGGCTAAAGGTCGGTGCTTATTGGCGCAACTTTACTCAATAATTACCGCTTTATTAAGCATTATAGAAAAAAATGGTTCAGGACTTTTCGACTCAGTTTTCCACGAGGAATATCGCTATATAAATATAGGGCGCCAATTAAGTGACACCCTGTAAATTTATATTACATTAATTATAAATATATAATGTTGTATTTATATTATATGAATTATTATATGAATTATTAGATAAATATATATTAATATTTATCTTTTGCAAAAAATAATTTCTCTCTCTCTCTCTTTTTTTGGAAAATATTTAAAAAACGCGATAGTTACTTCTTTTTTTCGTACTCCGACGATTGTTTTAGTACTTTAGTGATACTTGGTGAAATTCATTGGACGCGTATAAACGCGCCAGCCCGTTTGTATCGAATTATCAAGCGATAATGGCACACGCCGCTGCGCGCACCACGTAATTCCCGACAATGCGCGTTGCCTGGTCGCAACGAAACGACCTTAATTGTCCGTGGAATTCCCCGTGGCGTATTACTACTTGTACATGCGCATCCGTAAACTCTCTTCGTACGAAAATGGCATGCGAAACTTGCCGAGACAGTAAATGCAGTTACAAAGGCGACGCTCAGAATCATCGTAATGGCAATGCGCGTGTTATAGCACATTGTCGGCACAAAAGAGACGACGGAGTTTCGAGCGCTGCAACAGTAATTCGGAATTAGCGGAAACGTTCAAAGTGCAGCGAGTCTTTTATTGAAATCGTGCTGAACGATGCGAAGATAGAGTTATTAAAAAAATTAATCGCGATGATATTTTTATCGTATTACGATGTCTAAAATTACATCGAGAATCATAGAAGTGTATATTGATTTTTGAGCAAATAGTAAAGTTATTGAGTTAAGAATAAAGTTTCCTGCACTTTTATGGTTTTTGATGTAATTTTAGATATCATATATATTTCTGTAATTATATGATCATATGAAATATCATGGAAATTAATTTTTTAATTTGTTTGCTCTATTTTTGAATCAGTTTAGCAACCTGAATTCATTTTTATTCCGAAGAAATAATTTCCTAATTTTTATGCGGATATGAAGAAAGAGGGAATCGCAAATCTTAATTTAATAATTTTCCTATTCCCTTCTTTAATATAGGTATACAGTATAGTAAAAAAGAATATACTAATATTCTTCGATAATAATATAAAGAATCTTGATAATATCATGATAACGATCATTAATCTAGATAACGAATCATTTTATAATAAAAGATTAATTTCTGAAATGTTGTTCATAAAAGGATAGGCTAATAGCCTTAATTTACAAATTGACAAGGAATGCCTACATCGTAATTATATATCTGCAGTAAATCAGCTTCCTAATATTTAATGTTTTGACTATAATTCTGTTTCCTTTATATAAATCCCTATTTTCATAATATTAGAAATCATTGTAATCCCTGCATTATTTTCTCTCCTCGATCATATACAACATATCACATTATCATTAATCACACTATTATCAACGATTATTTTGGATAATTACTTTAATTTAATTATGATTTTCCATGTATATTGTTGTATATTGATTTTTGAGCAAATAGTAAAATTATTGAGCTAAGAATAAAGTTTCCTGCACTTTTATGGTTCTTGATGTAATTTTAGGCATCATATATATTTCTGTAATTATATGATCATATGAAATATCATGGAAATTAATTTTTTAATTTGTTTGCTCTATTTTTGAATCAGTTTAGTAACCTGAATTCATTTTTGTTCCGAAGAAATAATTTCCTAATTTTTATGTGGATATGAAGAAAGAGGGAATCGCAAACCTTAATTTAATAATTTTCCTATTCCCTTCCTTAATATAGGTATATAAAATAGTAAAAAAAAGAATATAAAATAGTAAAAAACTAATATTCTACGATATTAATATAAAGAATCTTGATGATGTCATGGTTCTAGAACGAACCATTTTATAATAAAAGATTAATTTCTGAAATGTTGTTCATAAAAGGACAGGATAATAGCCTTAATTTAAAAACTGACAAGGAATGCCTACATCGTAATTATATATCTGCAGTAAATCAGCTTCCTAATATTGAATGTTTTGATTATAATTCTGTTTCCTTTATATAAATCTCTATTTTCTTGTGTGTATTTTCATAATATTAGAAATCATTGTACTCCCTGCATTATTTTCTCTTCTCGGTCATAAACAACATATCACATTATCATTAATCACATTATTTATCAACGATTATTTTGGATAATTACTTTAATTTAATTGTGATTTTCATGTATATTTTTGTATTTCGATCATTTCTGTAAGTTTCTTGTTAATTTCATCATTACTTGGTTGCGTTCAATTTTATTTTTAATTTATAGTTTTTATCTATTAATTCTCGGACCTCTATGTCTTTTAGCTATAGAGAAACGTGACTAGACGATTTATCATTGACCGTTGCGTTAGAGAATCTTTTTATAATCTTCTTATTTGAAGAATTTAATTTTGACCGTAATGCATCAAGTCTTTCGCTGACTTAGTTTTTAGTTATTTTTGCACTGAAGATGACCTCAAAAAAGGGCCGAAACGCCCGCCTTTCTTACATTATATTAGCTTAATTTTAATAAACCTAATAATATAATTATTAATATTTTATTATTTTTACTGATCACAGTCCTTCGAATTATGTTCTTTAAAAAGATTTGACTCATATAGCTTATGATTGTTTATCTTTCTTATATAAAGAATTTTCTTAATATAAAGATATATATGTATATAAAAAAAATATACAACTTTTATAATCTCATATCTCTCTTTACAGTAGAATATCAATACCTGTATGATACATCGGGATGTGTATTCGCAAAACTTTTGCATGTATCCTAGGTTGATATACGGCACGAACGGAGAAACAGTAATATACGACGCGAAAAGGGTAGGACACCTACGATACATTCGCATAATAATTCATAGCGAACGTCGATCCGTTGGCGAACTCTTCGTGATCGCGATAGAAATTTATCTCGCTCCTGAACACCTAACATGCAGAAACAAACAACGACGCAGAAATATTAAAACGGATCGGCCTGGCGACATTGGTGGAGTAAGGAAGTCGGTTGCTCTTAAAACGAAACGTGCACTTTCATAACCGAGTTATCGCGAAATTTTATATCCGCTTACTCTCCGAGCGACCTTCTTGGTTCTCTGCTGCCAACCCCTTTGACCTCGTTTCTAACATATTTGCCGTTATAATCCCTCGCTACCTTTCTCCCACTTCCCCTCCCCTCCTCTCTTTCACCACGTCCGCAATCCGTATATTGTGCAACCCACATTTTCCTCCCCTCTTCTACCCCCCTATCGTTGCACTTCCTGCTGCCATCATCGAGATTCGACACTCTTTGCTATCGCGCCGGTAACGAGAATCGGATATTTTTCTTATCCCATTTAAAAGTCCATGGCGTCGTCAAATCTCGATTAAAAAGTCAAACGGAAGCAAAAAAATCGAGATTACACCTCCGTGGCGAACAAAGACGGTTCGCAATAATACGATCCGATTTAAATCGATCAGCTTATATATTATGTATATTATCCTTCTCTCTTATACGATTCACGCGATAACTATAATTATCACGAACGCACTGAGAAAAAAATCTGGTTGCATTAATTAGAATTCTGGTAGATTCAACCAGTATGTCTGTTGGAAAATGGACGAACCAGAATTCTTGTAGGAATTACCAGATGAATCTGATTAATTTCTTCCTCTTAAATTTACCAAATTTTCTTAATAATACTAAACTCGTCATCAAGTCTAAAACTTTTTCCATCTAATCTCAAAAGTCTGTTTAACATTCTGAATTCCAACAAGATTATTGGATAAATTCAATCCAGATTATTGAATAAATTATTTTAAATTCAGTTTGTTAGAAATTAAATTAATAAACAGTGATGCAAGAAGAAGATGCAGCTCAAACACACACAGTCAGAGAGCTAGCGTCCTCTTTCTGACACTACTGCTCGTAAGAGAAAAAAAATATACTTTGGATTTAATGTTAATACTAGTTCTTTATACAGGGTGGCCCCGAACTTCCAGCCAGACTTTGAGATCTTATAGGAAATTTAATTCTGAACAAAAAATTTCTTATAAGCATTGGTCGAAAAATGCTTCTTAAGAAGTTATCGTTCAAAAACCTCTGATGAAGGAAGAGCAAAAGGTGAAAAGAAAATGAAATAAAAAGAAAATGAAACTAAATAAATTTCTTGAAAAAAACGATAAAAATAAAAAATAAAAATTTTTTTCTATCATAAAAATAAAATAATTTTTTTTTAACTAATATTTTAGTAATAGCACGTAATAGTAGAAAATGAATAAAGACGTTTTTCAAGAAATTTATTTAGTTTCATTTTCTTTTTATTTAATTTTCTTTTTACCTTTTGCTCTTCCTTCATCAGAGGTTTTTAAGCGATAACTTCTTAAGGAAGCATTTTTCCCATGTTTATTGGAAATTTTTTCTTCAGAATTAAATTTCCTATAAGATCTCAAAATCTGGCTGGAACGTTCAGGGCCACCCTATATACATTTTATGGTAAATATTGAATACGAGTTAAGTTAAGATTGACTCGCCGCCTAGCGGTAAACAAAGAAATTAAAGCAGCAAGAAATTTTATAGATCCGACCAGAAAATAACCAAATCCTTATAGTAAAATCTATTAAACATTCTAGTTATAAAAAATCGAGTTTTATCATGATAACTAGAAATTCTTGTTTGATTTAACCAAAATGCCTTCAATCATACCCATATAGCATCCTACGTCCAAAAGACATTAACAGGACATCCTGAACATGTCTAATCGCTCAAAGATCTTCTGGATACCTTCTGGACATCTTTTGGATATGCATGCTATATGGGATGGGATATACGTCTTGTTGCTACAATCAACCGATTTTTCTCAGTGCGCGCAAATTTAATCTTTTTAATTCCTACAGAATGTCCCGATACGCAACCCATGGTTTCCGCCGTGCCCGATGCTAAGTCCTTGAAGGAAGAAGCATCGAGCGATGCGGACGCAAGGACCACATCAACAGCGACCACGACATCGTCATCATCATCGTCATCATCACCATCATCGTTATCCGTTATTTCCACAGATGCAATATCCGCAACAGATTGCTCGATGACAACGCGAATGGAGACGACCACCATGATCACCGTGCCATCATGCACGTCTCCGATGACTCCATCGCCGACCGAATCGATCGTCTCTCCCGTTGAGAAAATGACAGCGATGACGACGGTCGTCCCATCCTTACCTTCGCCGAGCGTCGTGCGAACGTCCTCTGGCAGGCCCGAGGCCGCGATCGCGACGACGTCCATCGCGATGCTGTATCATCCAACTTCCGTCGGAGAATCGTCTTCCGCCATCTCCAGCACGTCGGCGACGTCCTATCATCTGGAAGACACTCCGGAGCACTCGAGGACAGCCAACGACTTCAGGATACGACTCGCGCCCGCGTCCTGCGGCGTGCTTATGCCCAGCCACGTGTCCTCCATGTTCAAGGATCGCTCCGCGGCGGAGACGGAGGCGGCGCACGATCTTCTCGAGCTGTCGCGATCGCTGCCACCCTTGCCACCGCCGAGCGTCGCCATCGGTCCTCAGAGCGTGATCGAGGCGCCGGCGAGCGACGTCCAGGAGATGACGGTCTATCAACCTGCTGAGCAACCGATTTATCAGGTGAATACGATCGATCTAGCTGGCTCGACCATCTACGGCCATCATCATCATCAGCAACAGCAACAGCAGCAGCAACAGCCTGCCGCGGCCGCCGGCATCATCTACGAGCCCAGTGCGACCATCGTACCACCCTCGGGCAGCGTCTTCATACCTTTGTCGCCGGTACAGGAGATTCTGCTCACGTATAGCACGTCCACCATACCGTGCACGTCGATCGTCGCTCAACAACCGCAGCATCAGCCGCCGCCACTGCCCCCGCAGCAGCAGCAACAGCAACAATCGCAGCAACAACCGTTGCAACAGATCGAAGCGACGCCGCCGTTGACGCCACCAACTTCCGAGTGTAGTAGCGACATTGAAAACAGCAACCCAAACTCGCAGCCGACGCAAAGGGACAAGGAGGTGCAGACCATCACCGAGCAGACGGAAGGGGTGAAACCGGCTAGTTATACGTATGACACGTTGCTTGTCTCAGACGGCAGATCGAAAAACAAGAAGGCGCCCCCAGTGCAGAAGAATCAGGAGACAGAACCGATCGAGACACCCGAGACCTCCAAGACCGGACGTTATATGTGCTGCGAGTGCGGTGAGTGTAGATATAAATTGGGGATAAAGTAGATTAATCTCAATTGCAATATATTCTACTTCTCTCTCTCTCTCTCTCTCTCTCTCTCTCTCTCTCTCTCTCTCTCCCCTCTCCCCCCCCTCTCTCAGCCTTTGATTTTAATTGATTGATTTGATAATTTTCGTTTTGTCCATTTTTTAAAACTTTGAACAAATATTTTAACACTTACTCTCTAAAAGTGAATCAGTGAAAATATCACTAATTTAAACAGTAAAATAAGATTTCACTGAGAATCAGTGAGTATTTTACTGATTTTCAATGGAAACGCTTATTTTTTTGTTATTTTATTTTATATCTCACTGATTATGGTCAGTTAAAATAAAATTCACTGTAAAATCAGTAAATTTCACTGTAAAACCAGTAATCGCTAGTTCGTTCATTTACCGCTACGATCGCTATCTCTCTCGTATTTAATTTTAATTATAAGAATTATACAAAGTTTGCAAAGAGCGACATTTAAAATTAGAAGTATTATTTCGATTTTTGATACAATCTCATAGAAAAGCTTCAGATATTAAATCGATCTTTATAAGTCGAACAAATAAATGTCTGGCGACTTAATGAAAATTATTCGTTCGTTATTTATTTAAAATAACAAGTTTAATATGCATGTAATATAAATAAAATAAAATTTTTAATATAATAAATATTTAGTAAATATAAATAAAATTTTTAATATCATAAATATTTAGTAAATATAAATAAAATTTTTAATTTCATATGAAATAAATTGAGAGATGAATTATAGTTTAATATTACTGACAATAACGAAAGAAATATTACTGATATTGAGAAATATTACTGATTGAAACAGTCAAAATAATTAACTGGTTCTTTCAATAAGATCACTGATTTACAGTGCTATACTTATAACTGCTGTAATCAGTGACCATTTACTGTTTTTCAGTGATAATACACTGATTCACTTTTAGAGAGTACTTGTAATATAAATTTATTGTTTTATTATTTCTTAATTTACTGTTCTATTATTTTTTAATTTTTTATAATATTTATTGTTCTATTATTTCTTAATTTATTGTTCTATTATTTCTTAATATTTCTCTTAATATTTCTTAATAATTCTCATTTCTTTTCTTCTCATCTCTCATATTCACTACACAATTCCCTCTCCTACTCATTTTCCCTTCTTATTCTCTTCAACCCTTTCAACCCTTCTCTCTCTTCCCTCTGTCAAAATCTGTCTCACCATTTCTTGCTATCCCTAACCTAACCTTTCCCATACATGTTTTCACGTTTCACTCTCTATCCCACATATCCTACATATCCTCTCTTCTTCCTCCTTTCAACTCTACCACTTTTTATTCACACCATTTCCTAATCTATTTCGCCACTTTCTGCCTATTTTCTCTCCATCTCTTCTTTAAATAACCAGGAATTTCTTGTCCCTTTATCCTACTGCATCATACATAATATCATATACGTAATAATATATTTTAATATGTAATATTACCCAGACAGCACACATGTCCAAAAGACATCAAAAAGGTGTCTTACAGACATCTTAAAGTCCTTTAGACATCTTTCGGCCATTTTGTGCTGTTTGGGTATATATTTATAAATTTATGTAAAATTGTTTATAGTAATTTAATACTCAATTTTTGATGAGGGTTGATGAATATCATATGGATACCACGATCCCGAGATACCCAATCTAACGGATCATGAATAGTGTGAATAGCGTGAATATTCCTCCGAGTCAACCCGCACCCTTTCTTTTCTTCATCCAACAGGCAAGCAATACGCGACCTCGTCGAATCTGTCGCGGCACAAGCAGACGCATCGCAGCATCGACTCGCAATCGGCCAAGAAGTGCATCCACTGCGGCAAGGCGTACGTCAGCATGCCCGCCCTGGCGATGCACGTGCTCACGCACAAGCTCACACACAGCTGCGGCGTATGCGGCAAGATGTTCTCGCGACCCTGGCTGCTGCAGGGTCATCTGCGCAGCCACACCGGCGAGAAGCCATACGGATGCGCCCACTGCGGCAAGGCGTTCGCCGACCGCTCGAACCTACGGGCCCATATGCAGACTCACTCGGCCGACAAGAACTACGAGTGCCACAAGTGTCACAAGTCGTTCGCCCTCAAGTCTTACTTGAACAAGCACCTGGAGTCGGCGTGCCAGCGCGAGAACGAGAGCGATGGCAGCTACGACGTCGACGCGCCGTCATAGGACGTGATCGGGATGTCGGGGGCGACCGTGGACGGCGATTATAGATAGGTAGGTTTTCCGACTTTGTGGAATCGCCATTTTTTTTTTCTTGAAAATTGACGAGGATTTTTTTTTATTTGTTCGTCGTTACTCAAAAACTCTCTCAGCTTGCGCGCGTCGCGAGCAACTTTGCGTTTTCACGTTCGTGAGTTATGCACTTTAATTTACCGCGACAATCCCGCGATCGATCGCGACTGTTGTTCTCGTATTTAGACCTAATAGCGCGCCCGTGCCAACCGATCAATTCGCAATTTGCAGCCGGTCGTGCACGACGTAAATAGAAGATTGTAGCGTTGACCGGCTGTAGAAAGAGGAAATACAGTGCTGCTCCGCACAAATACACACCTTTGCATCCATTCATAGACCGAAAGGGACAGAAAGGGAAGATGAACACAGACATAGACACATATAAACATACGCTGCAGTCCTCTCATCATCGTACGGATGCGATTGGTTTCGATTGTTTCGAATCAGCAATCGAATTGGATTGTTATTTATCAATAATAACAGCAAGTTATGTTTCTTTCATCTTCGAATTTCTTAAGGATGTTTTGTACCTATTTTCAAAATATTGAGAATTTTATGAAAATTGTGCAGAATGTCCTTACATGTGTTTAGAGTCTTCAGTATAATTTTTAAATCGATTCACTAAAGCGCTCACAAGTTATAAGGATTTTAATTTGCTCCGAATTAACATGTGTTTTTATAGGAAACGTATAACAACGTCGATTCAATGACAAAAAACACATGTCTAGTTTAACATTCTAAGAAAAGTTAAAGTAAATCTTCAAATAATCTTGAACTTTAACATACAAAATAATCAAAATTAAAGTCAAATGTTTCTATTACAAATAATTTAAGTTAAAATAATTACTATTATAAGTTAATGTCCTACAAAATTCTTACGAATTTCTGTAACTATTTTTTCATGTAATTTTTAATTAATTTGTATGTTATTTTTACATTACACTTAAAGTCACAATAACAAAAATAAATGTGAAGTATTGTGTTAATTGTTTAACACTTTTAGTCAATAAGTAACATACGACGAATGAGTTATTTTAACTTAAGAATGTTTTGTATTTTCAAAATTGAGAATTTAATGAAAATTGTGCAGAATGTCCTTACATGTGTTTAGAGTCTTCAGTACAATTTTTAAATCGATTCACTAAACCGTTCACAAGTTACAAGGATTTTAATTTGCACCGAATTAACATGTGTTTTTATGGGAAATGTATAACCGCGTCGATTCAAATGACAAAAACACATGGAAATAATATTCAGAATTTGTTTAAAAGTTGCAAAAATTTAGATACACAGAAAATATTTGATCAAATAATATTATACAAATACTAACTGATTAAAAAGATATTAAATATAATTCAATGAAGTTAGCCATGTATCTGTCACAAGGCGAAATTTTCTGCCAAAAGTTAATCATTTCGATTCACAAAATTCGGAATATTTTAGTAAAAACGCAATAAATATTAAAAAATACATCTCTGCACTGTAGACAAGATCAAATTGTAATATTCCACACAATTTCTTACTCAAAATACACCAAAAATGGATATATTCGTCAATATTGATTTTCAGCTACTTTTTGCTGGGATTGTACAAAACATCCATAAGGATATTTTATACCTATTTTCAAAATATTGAGAATTTAATGAAAATTGTACAGAATGTCCTTACATGTTTAGAATCTTCAGTACAATTTTTAAGTCGATTCACTAAAGCGTTCACAAGTTACAAGGATTTTAATTTGCACTGGATTAACATGTGTTCTTATGGGAAACGTATAACCACGTCGATTCAAATGACAAAAACACATGGAAATAATATTCAGAATTTGTTTAAAAGTTGCAAAAATTTAGATACACAGAAAATATTATTTGATCAAATAATATTATACAAGTACTAACTGGTTAAAAAGATATTAAATATAATTCAATGAAGTTAGCCATGTATCTGTCACAAGGCGAAATTTTCTGCCAAAAGTTAATCATTTCGATTCACAAAATTCGGAATATTTTAGTAAAAACGCAATAAATATTAAAAAATACATCTCTGCACTGTAGACAAGATCAAATTGTAATATTCCACACAATTTCTTACTCAAAATACACCAAAAGTGGATATATTCGTCAATATTGATTTTCAACTACTTTTTGCTGGAATTGTACATACAAAACATCCCTAAGAAATTGTGATTTGAAAGTATCGCGAGTTGTGACATTCTTTGTTTATACTATTGGCACTTTTATTGAAACCCAAATTGATTGGATATTTTTTCATTGCGTCCCAATTTGATGAGAATGGAAATTTTTGATGCATCTAAATTTTATTTTCTCATTTGTCGATGTATCAAAATTTCTCTCTCTCTCTCTCTCTCTCTCTCTTTCTCTCTCTTTCTCCTTTCTTTAGTAAAATTTTCTACTTTTTTTTCTCGAGAGAGGATATTAGCGCGATTAAACGCGTTCTCGAGATCCAAGCGTCTCGAAATTTGTCGTAACGAGAGCTCTGCTCTCCGCTAAGTCCAGAGAGATTGGATTGGTTCGGATTGGAGAATACGTGAAGTGGCAAAAGACAGAGAGAGAGAGAGAGAGAGAGAGAGAAGAGAAAGAGACAGCTTCCAATTAGTCGATAAGATTTTACTCAAAATTGCAGAACGGGCTAATGACTTGCTGTCACTGTCAAGAAGAGCTTCAGCTCTTTTGTGCATCGCAGACGACGATCAGACGTCGAATCTCCGGTAACATCCAATTTCAACGGGTATCTCTCGGTAAGCGCAAAGTAATTCGATTTACTCGTCGGCTTTAAACGTCGCGGGATGGGCGAAAGGCGACAAAAATCTCAGCGGCTGCTACTGGGAACGAGGACGAGAAGGTAATTGACATATCGGCGTCTCTGAATCTCGCGCTCGTCTCCTCCATTCGTGGAGAGGAAAGAAGTTTCTCTGAATATTTCACCGCGCCTCGCTTCTCTCATATTTCGCTCGCTTCTATTTTTAAGATCATTTTCCCGATTCTCTCCTTCTCCTTGACGCCGGAAGATCGAGAAGAGAGCTCCGCGTATTTTTAACAAACAAATACTTTGGCTAACGAGAATCGATGGAATCATTAATTTTTCAATCGTTACCGGCTACATTTTCCGATAAAGTTTCGCCTATAATAAACTTCAATTCCTTCGTAAAAAAACGAAACGAACTTTATGTTTGATTTCTCCAAATGGCTATTTCCCGAATAAAGCGTCAGAGAGCGTAATAAAAAAGAAACTCGCCGACTATCTCTTTCTTCGATGCACAGAGAAACTTCTTTTCCATCAGCGAAAAGATCTGTATTCTGATTCGCTAGTTATTTTTAGGCGAGTCTGCCGCGTAAGGATGTCCCGATGTAAAGCGATATCAATATTTCAATATGTTTGGGCATCCTCTCGCGCCGAAGATCGATATGATAGCAGATACCCCATCTCATTTCGTGAATTCGCAAGAACGACGAATCGAGATGCTCTCTCGGAATGAGCAGCGATAAAGTCGATTGCGAAAAATAGTGCAATAAGTTTCTTACGTAGCTTTAAAGAAGCACTTTTTTCATTCATCTTTGCTCGACGAGGGAAGTTTTACTCGTTACTTTTTTCTTTTCCTCAAAAACTCGAAGAAAATTTTTTATTTTCACTCAAACGAAAAAATATCTCTGTTAATCTCATTTATTAAAAAGATGATCTCAAAACGTGCAATTAAAATTGCTCTCTAAAAGTGAATCAGTGAATCAGTGTATCACTGAAAAACAGTAAATGGTCACTGATTACAGCAGTTATAAGTATAGCACTGTAAATCAGTGATATTTTATTGAAAGAATCAGTTAATAATTTTGACTGTTTCAATCGGTAATATTTCTCAATATCAGTAATATTTCTTTCGTTATTGTCGGTAATATTAAATTATAATTCTCTCTATCTATTTCATATGAAATTAAAAATTTTATTTATATTTACTAAATATTTATTATATTAAAAATTTTATTTTATTTATATTACATGCATATTAAACTTGTTATTTTAAATAGATAACGAATAATTTTCATTAAGTCGCCAGACATTTATTTGTCCGGCTTATAAAGATCGATTTAATATCTGAAGCCTCTCTATGAGATTGTATCAGAAATTAAATCGAAGTAATACTTCTAATTTTAAATGTCGCTCTTTGCAAACTTTATATAATTCTTATAATTAAAATTAAATACGAGAGAGATAGCGATCGTAGCTGTAAATGAACGAACTAGCGATTACTGGTTTTACAGTGAAATTTACTGATTTTACAGTGAATTTTATTTTAACTGACCATAATCAGTGAGATATAAGATAAAATAACAAAAAAATAAGCGTTTCCACTGAAAATCAGAAAAATACTCCCTGATTCTCAGTGAAATCTTATTTTACTGTTTAAATTAGTGATATTTTCACTGATTCACTTTTAGAGAGTAGACTCCGACGCTGTTGAAGCTATCGCAAATTTAATTATCATTATAAGTTATTATATATATATATATATATATATATATATATATATATATATATTTTTTTTTTTCATAAAAGTACTTCGAATACAACGATAGCATCTGATGGCACCTGATAATTTAAGGTCGTTTGCGCGTTTAATAGTGCACTCCTGCGCGATTTTTACCAGGATCTCCTTAACGTAACGCACGCGCGAGTACTCGTGGAAAGTTTTCATCAACATTTCACGTAAACTGGACCACCTGTTGAATGCAGAAATGACCATTCGGTGGTAAAAGGGTCGGTCGTACTGCTACCCTGAATTATGGAACACATCATTTCCTCGGTTGTTAAAAGCGCAAGCAATTGTAATGTTTCGCGTTTCAAGTTTATCGATATTTTTTTTTACATCCGCAAAAGAGATACATCCCACACGTGGCGGATTTCTCTTCAATCCATCGATGAAATAATTATATATTGCAAGTTATTTTTATAGGACATTGAAATATTATATATCTTTCATATCTTTTATTTTAAACTTTTAATACTTGATGAAGAAATTTCTTTTTTTAACGAAGATTTTTTTCTCATCGCACGTATATTATTACCAGAGTTCCTACGAATAAAGTCATTGATACATTGATATTAGCAATTTGTTTTTATTATATGTTTTGTTACATACACGGTGTCAAAAAAGTCTGGACACGGTCGAATATCTCGATAAGGAAGAGTTTTACTAGAAAGTGTTTCAGACAAAAGTTGTATACAAGTTGTATACAAGATATCTTACGGTTTATGTAAAATTAAAAAATGATTTCAAACCTCATAACTCGGAAAGTTAATGAATAGTACTTAATGAAAACTAACTTAATTATAGAGTTTTGGAAAACTCTCGAGCTACAAGAATATGTAAAAGTATATAGGGTGTCCCATTTAAAAAGTTGGAGATGACCTTCACGTGATCTTCAGGTGACTCTTCAAGGTCAAATTAATGGCACCATCTTATGCCCCCCTCGAAGCCATACAACTTTTGTCTGAAACATTTTCTAATAAAATTCTTCCTTATCGAGATATTCGACCGTGTCCAGACATTTTTGACGCCGTGTATATTATTTATATAATTTATTTTTATTTATATAATATTATATATGTGTAGAAATCGATTTATATATAAGAAATCGAATAATATTTACATCCTTAGTATTAATAGGAATTATTGCTCAATTTATTTGTTTTATTTTATAAAGTTTCGAGATTCGCTGTATCTAGTCATACAATTATTTTTACGAGAAGAACGCGATTCCTATCTTTTAGCAATATCATAAAAAATCGCGTATGTAGCACACGATACACTGAAACTGAAATATAGATAAAGAGATATTATATTTGAGAGATATTTTTTTGCATTTCGAGCAGGAAGAATGAAAAGGGTGAATCGCGTATGAGTGCGTTTTATAGACGATGCAATTCGCAACGTCATACTAAAGATATGACCAAAAGGGGGGGAAGCAGAGGGAGGAGCAGGAGGGTGGAATTATAAGGAGAGAAGAAAAAGTACTTACGATCTAGTCAACAAGTTGCGCTTGAATTACATCCCTTTTATCTTACAAGTCTTGTTAGTTGCCTAAGGCGGTATAAGCGAGAAGGAAAAGTGACGCTTATTTTCTCTCTCGACGTATATTTTAAAACCCCTACTTACTTTTTTCTCCCCCATTTCTCCACGCGCACGTCCTTAAAGCGTTTCTAATATAACATATTTTGGTACGAAAAATTTTACGAGCGATTGTAAGATAGCGGGTGGGTTTGATCGAACTTAATTAATTAAACGCGTGGCGTACACGCTTATCGTTAACGAGATTAGCGCCCAGTAAGCGAGAGAAAGAGAGAGATTTAGTGATTTTAGTTAGTACAAAAGTATCAACACCAAGTAGACCTCGATCGCTTTTTTCGTCGTAGAAATATGCAGCGATAAACGGGAGGAGAAGTCATCTACGATTCATTTTCTTCCTTCCTCTCGAAAACGCGACGGGCAGGTAACGTCGAGATGCACCGAAATGTAAAAATAAGATATGAGAGAAATATACGTGGAATAAAAATTCACGACATTATTAATGCAATAATAATTGAACGAAGCAACGAAATTAATATAATAACGCGGATACGATAAAATAATTGACCTGGGAAACATAAGCGATTATTCGTCTTTAATTTGCTTATCGTGCATTGATCGTATTATCGATGTATCTATCGCAGGTTGGATCTTTTTCTTGCAATATGATGATGAAATGATAGAAGTTTTACAGAAATTGAAATTTTCCTTAAGCGAACTTTTAATTCATCTATTTCCCATACGGCACAGAAATATTGCAGAAATATTTCTTTGCAAGATTGCAACATTGCAGAAAGGTTGCAAAATGTTGCTGCAATATTGCAGCAATGATAAAATGTCCGCTTGTAGAAATATTGCAATGCAATATTGCAGCAATTACGATGCAACGTATTTGTAATATTAAAACGCGTTTTGCCACACATGCCGTTTTAAATTTAATAAATAAACTTTAAAAATATAAAAAAAAATGTTTAAGAAAGATAGGAAGAAATACTTTTAAAAAAACATCTATTAGTGTTTTTATTAGATGTTTCTTAAATATTTATCTCAACAATTATATTACAATTATTTTACATACATTCGACACCAGAATATTTTAATGCGTGCAATAAATGAATTATTTCCTATTTACCCATTCAATTAAGAAAAATCTGTTTAATATTCTGAAACCCAATGAAGGATCCAGATTATTAAACAAATTATTTGTTTAATAATCTAGATCCCTCATTAAAATTCAGAATATTACAAATTAATGTCTCTGCATTATCGCTGCAACATTACACTGCAGTGAGCAATATTGTAACATTGCAGCAACATTGCAGAAATATTTCTTTGCAAGATTGCAACATTGCAGAAAGATTGCAAAATGTTGCTGCAATATTGCAGCAACGGTAAAATGTCCGCTTGTAAAAATATTGCAATGCAATATTGCAGCAATGTTACGGGTGCAACGTATTTGTAATATTAAAACGCGTTTTGCTACAAATGCCGTTTTAAATTTAATAAATAAACTTTAAAAATATTTAAAAAATGTTTAAGAAAGATAGGAAAAAATGCCTTTAAAAAAACATCTATTAGTGTTTTTATTAGATGTTTCTTAAACATTTATCTCAGTAATATTACATACAATTATTTTACATACATTCGACACCAGAATATTTTATAATGCGTGCAATAAATGAATTATTTCCTATTTACCCATTCAATTAGGAAAAATCTGTTTAATATTCTGAAACTCGATGAAAGAACAAATTATTTGTTTAATAATCTAGATCCCTCATTAAAATTCAGAATATTACAAAATAATGTCTCTGCATTATTGCTGCAACAATACACTGCAGTGAGCAATATTGTAACGTTGCAGCAACGTTGCAGAAAGCTTCTGTGCTGTATGGGTTTCTACAGAAGACACACTCGTCGACATTGGGCTCGTATTTTGTTCTTATATTTCGTATCTCGACTCGTATAAAGTCGTCTCGCAAAAAAAGTAGATTAGTAGCCTTACGGGAAATCACGAAACACACGTAATTCTGCAACTCGGCCACGTTTTTTCGTAATATTTGAGATATTACCTATAAACACTCGTCTCTCTTGTACCGTATTACAATACTCGACAGTCAATCGAATCTATAATTAATAGAGTAACTCATAACGGTAGTCAATAATAGGAAAAAGATGTAACGTGAGGGAGGATCCGCGAGATCGTACCAAGTTGAGTCCCAAGTGAATTCCATCGAGGGTACGTGAACATCGTGGCACAGTTTACAGTAGTTTTAGTATCGCAGCGAAGAAGGGTGACAAGAAGTGAAACGATGTTTCGTGGCATGATTTCGTGTACCATATTTCGCGTACGTATTTGTACTCGCTGGTAACATAATAATTTTCTCAATTTGAAATTTGCGAATGAAACCCGCGAGATGACTGACAAATTTTCGTTCATAACAAAATGCATTATCGATCTCTTTACGATTTATCAGAGTTATTATCTTTTTGTAAATAAACGTTAAAGGAAAAATAAATCATAGAATTATAT